GGTTGGGATGAGCAGATGTAAGCTTTTATATATAGAATGGATAACCGACAAGGTCCTACTATATAGCCCAGAGAACTAGATTCAGTATTTGATACACCATAATGGAAAAGAATATTATAAAAAAGGAATGTAAAAAAAAAAAACGTAAAGAACATCAATCAATCAAAAAAAAAAAAAAGGATAAAATGTAGTTCATGATTTTCACAGAGTGTTTCTCCCCCCCAGAAATGCTTTGTTTTGTGGAAAACACACGTAAGGCGACATCCACAGCTCGCTGTGTACTAGCCCTTGCCCGCTTGGCACATCCTGTCTATAATGTGGACCGTCCCTTTGTCCCAGCTGGAAACCAGGCCGTTCTGATTTGCTCCTGAGCCCAGGCAGCCGAGGATGTGACTGCTCCCCTGGGGCTGAGGGCCCCCAGGTGTTGCTGCAGGAGCCCCCGGGGTGGCCTTACAGGCGCCCAGAGCTCGGCCTGGGGACCAGGACCCCTCCAGCTGCCAGCAGGGGCGTGGTTAAGCTAAGTTAAGTTAAACAGGGGAACTTACTGAGAGGCTGTTGGGAGCCCTGGAATTGGCCAGGAAGCAAGGCTGCTCTTGCAGCCGGGAGGAACCTCAGAGGCGCCTCTGCTTCTTCCCCTGCTTGGGGGCCTCATTCCCAGGAGGGGCACCTGCCCCCTCAGCCCCACTTGGCTCACCTGTCTCCTGGGAGGTCGTCCTGCCCCAACAGTATCGCTCGGGGGACAGGCAATGCCCCAGGAGCAGCGAGGGTGTGTAGGGCAGGAGAGACACGTTCTAGGGCCCCCTCAGCCCCGAGCTTGCCCTGGGGGCCCAGCTCGTCTCAGAGGTGCCCTGCCGAGGGCAATGCCCGGGTCTTCACCTGCTCATGGACTGGGCTCTCTGTGGAGGAGAGGACCAGAAGAAACTCAAAGCCCGGGAACAACGTGTTTCTCCCAGGAAGGTGTAGGCATCAAGGTGATGGCTCCCTCCCCTCCTGCAGAGAATGGAGAGGTCACACTGAGCTCACCCAGCCGGCTGTGTGCAGTGAGGGCTCCCCCCGTCATTCTTCCTTCTTGGGGAGGTCCATCTAACTGTCATCCAACAAGGTGATGGAGATTTCTTTTCTCTGTGATCACTGGTTGCATTTCTAAAGTTTTTACATTAACTTTTCAGTGATAACAACAGTAACAGTAACAACGGCCAGGCTTTGCCTAGAACAGGCCAGATTGCGCAAGTGAACTCCTGCATTTTCTCTTTACTAACAAAGGAGAGACCCATGCGGGGGGAGAATAACTTCTGAGCTCCATGCCTTTTTGTGCAGGTGTGGTCGCCACGCTGGACCCTGCGCTGGGCCCCTGCCTCCCCGAGGCCAGCTGTCCCTGATGGGAGGAAAGCTTGGGGAAGGCAGATGGCCTCTGGGAAGGTGGGCCGTGCAGCGGTTCTACCTGCTCTGCAGCCCTTGACTGCTTGGTCTGGACCCTGCCTCTGCCCCGTGTCCACCTGGGGCAAATGGCTTCACCCTGGGTGTGTCTCCTCGCCTGCAAAACGGGATCCTGAGAGACCCACAGGGCACGGTGGACCCTGCGGATGGACGAAAGCAGAGCAGACTGCGCCACCCGGAAATGGCACCCTTCACACGGCAGCTGCGGTGTCCAAAATACTGCAACGTGGGCTGACCTTAAGTGCATATTTATGGGGGCGGAATGTAGGCAGGCAATGTGGAGGACAGAGGGAAAATGAAATGTTCTCACCTCTGGCTTGTCAGTGTTTGCTTCTGGAGCAAAAGGGCCAAGTCGGAAGCATAGGCCCCCTTCTCCCTCCTTCGACCCAGCCCCCGGGCCCCATCCTCGCAGCGCATGTCCTCCTTGGTGGCACCTGGAATCACTTGGGCAGCTTTTCCCCCGAAAATTGGATGCCTGGGCCCAAACCCCAGAGGTTCTGTCTTCCTGGGCCTGGGTGTGGCCGAGCACTGGGATTTTTAAGCACCACGTGGAGAGCCACGCTCTGAGGCTGGGAGGACCTGAGGCTGAGGGCAAAGCCAAGCCCCTCCTGGACCCTGGCACCCACGGCACCTTGGCCCCAGGGCACACACGGGCCCAGCTGGAAGGGGCGGGAAGGACCTCAGGCTCCCGGAACCTGCTGGGCCTTCATGGAGAGGGGAGGGGAGGGTCCATCGGAGTGGGCAGTCTCCCCCCAGTCAAGGCTAAGTTTGGCAATGAGCGAGCAGTCTCCCCTCCAGGCACCTGTGGAGTCTTTGTGGGGTACTCCAGGCGGTGGGGGGCTGGTACTGAGGATGGCTGCTGGCCATGCCGGGGTGTGCGGGCCCCAGGCTGCTCGCCTCAGGCCCCTGGCCACCTGGCCGGGCTGCTTCCCGGGCGTGCCTCTCCCCGGGAGATCTAAAACTGAACCCCTCTGACCTCACCTCTGCTGTGCGTCCACACCTGCATCTCCAGGAGGGGCCAGCGCGGCACTGGGCTGACGTTTCAGTGTTCGATCCTACAGCCCTAGAATTCATGAGTCACTTATCAACACTTGCTGAAGAAAATCACAGGCGCATAAGGAACAAAATGATGCTTTTATTAAAAATCGTACCCATAGTACCTCCCTGTCTTCCTACAATTTTTTTTTTTTAAGGAGGTCTAGTTTTCTGCACAATTCCAGAAAATTGCCGGGAAGACTTCAGGACTGACCTAAGCCCCCGATAAACCAGAAGGTGAGGCTGACAGGAAATGAGGCACGCACCGCAGACCAGCTCAGTTCCTAGATCTCTACCTGCTCCCACCTTTCGGAGGGTCCCCGCTACAGGGATGCCGAATCAAAGAGCCGCATCTGGATACGTGGATATGACCGCTCACTGGCACAAGGACTACAGTGTGCCAGGAAATCGTAAAAACGGAAAACCATGCTACAAACCCTTAGAAACATTATGCAAACACCATGCTTCAGTCCCGTCGCGGTCCAGGGCAGGCACAGCGTCACAAGGGGTTTACGGAGCGCGCGCCACCCTCCGCAGTCTCCCCCGAAGCTGCCCCACATCACGTCTCTTCCGCGACGACATTTACCGAGCGCTCCTTGAAAGCATGGCTGAGAAGGGGAGGCCTTGGTTTGGACCCATTTATTGAGAGGAAGAGGTGCAGTCAAGGAGATGTGCCCCGCGGCCCGCTAACCACGGGGACGGCCCACAGCCCCGCCCGGCCGCTCACTGGCCTGGAAACCTGTGCGCGGAGTCCCCAGTGCGGACGGGAGCCCCGCGCAAACCCATCCCTGCCGCTCAGACAGAGAGCGCGGCCCTGCGGCTGCTTCGCTGCGGGTCCTCACGCGGAAAGGGCAGCTTGCCTGCCCATCACGGGGCCTTCGTTGGGGGACTCAGCGACAGCTGAGCGCGAGACACCTGAAGGGCACCATGGCTCGGAAGGCGGCAGGATAGAACACTCCTCCTTGCCTCGGTTAGAGAAATGGTGCTCGTCCTTTTTTTCAGAGCCGAGATTAAAATCCAGTATCCATTTTCCTATCCTGTGATTTTCTTTTTTCCTCCCTAAAGATGAGAGGTTAGGAATCGACGCTTCTCAACGCCCACACTACCTGGAGGCTGAAACCTAACCAGAGACACCCCACTCTTCCTCTGGTCCAGTAGCTCCCACGGCCCACAGCGCCGGTGCCACTGGGCGGAGCGCGGACGCCAAGGCCCATCGCCGCCTCGGACCGCCTGTTCCGTCCCAAAGAAGTTCGCTCAGAGCAGAGAGAACACAGGAAGTGTAATGAGCCTGGGGAAAAAGGCGTCATGTTGTCACAAAAGCCCAAAAGCCAGAAACACGCCTCAAACCAAGCCGTCCCCACGCTACGACGTTTCAGCACTTTCCCGTATATAAAGCAACGGACGTATGGCTTAGAGAGCAGAGCGCGGAAGGCAGTGTTTCTCCACATTCTCTGTCCGTCGCTTGTCTTCCGAGAAATTCGAGCTGCAGCCTTGGGGCTTCCTGTCCACTTCCCCGTCTGGGACTGAGAGGACCGAGGTGGCTGGTCCTGTGCCCTGGGTGGGTCCCGTCCAGGGAGCGATTCTCATGCAGGAGAGGCTTTGGGCAGAGCGTCTAGGATTTTTGGTTTAGAACGTTTCCCCTCTACACAGAAAAGGAAGGAAGGAACGGAGGGAGGGAGGGAGGGAGGGAGGGAGGGAGGGAAGAAGGAAAGAGAGAAGGAAGGAGGAGGAGAGAGAGAAAGGAACCTTTCCACACCTCCTACTTCTACTTTTAGAGAAACTGAAAGGGTTTTTTTTACCCAACACAAACTCTCAAACAGAAGAGGCCTTTTTTCAGCAACACAAAACTCTCCTTGGTCTCCTGGGGATACCGCACCCAGCAACTCTGAAATCAGAGGGTTAAGACAGCCCTCTGCCCGGAGGAGGCGTGGGAAGAAGGGACCCCGCAGACCGCGTGACCCGCGGGTGGCCACGAGACTGGCTCCCTGTGGCGTGGGTGGCTGGCCCAGCCCTTCCCCCCTTGGGGACCTGCAGGCCCGTCCTGTGCCCTGGGGGGTGTGGACAGGCTCCGGATGACCGGGCTGCCGGGGGCAGGGTCCTTCTGCAGTGCCCCCCCCGGAGGGGTGGGGCACACCCCCCGCTGACAGCAGCAGCGCTCCCCGTACATCTGGCCCTGGGACCACGGCTTGACCACGTGTACCTCACACACCTTTTGCAAAAAATGATGTGATGGGCTAGAGGCAGAGCTATGGTTTGGAGTTTCAAAATAGTTCACGCTATTTCCATTTAGCTAAGAAACGAAAACAAAACAGTAACAATTAAAGTAAAAAACGGTTTCCAGAAAATCCATTAAGGCTAAGAGCTGGCCTGGGGTTGGGGAAGGGACAGCCACACCAGTCATGGCAGCGGCGGGAACCCGGAGGCCCCAGGCCGCGCGCGCTCCAAGGAAAGCCGCGGGCCACGCGCACGGCAGGGCCTGGCAGGCACGGGGGGTGGGGAGAGGGGCTGGGGACCCCGTCTTCTCAGAGCCGTTTTGCTATACTTGGAGACACTGTCGCTCTTCGTCTTTCCCATGTACAAAGCTAAACAATTAATAAAAAGGCACCTGGAGACAGCTGAGACTCATTCATTTCATGTGACATATTTTAAAAAAAGATAAAAAGATTTAAAAAATACTCTGGTTAACAATGCACACCTCTTAACACAGCGAGCGATTCTGCAGCCGCTGCCTCGTTCGCTCGGGTTGGCGGGCTTGCCGAGGGCCACGGCGCTGCTGTGCTGTCAGGGAAGGAGCGAGCTTGCCGAGGGCCACGGCGCTGCTGGGAGCAGGGGTGCTTCCTGCTCCTGTGCTGCGAGGTCGAAAGGGAGAAAGGAAGGGGGAGCCCCGAATATTTCACCCCTGGAAGGACACCGAACGGAACCTTGGAATCTGTGGCCCCGCAGCCTGGAACCTTAAAGCCGATTCCTCGCCTACAAACTGCCGAGTGAGGACATTTCAGAGATGGACGCCCTTGGGTCTGGAGGCCCTGAGCCTGGGTCACACACATGCTCTTCGCACGCTGGAGACGGAGACGGTGGGATGGAGCCCCAGGCGGGCGCTGGTTCTCAGGCAGGGGTTAGAGAAGAGAAGGGAGTGGCCTGCAAGAGGCGTGGCCTCCCTGGACCCCCGTCTCTCGCCACCCCCCAGCCTTCCTAGTCGGCGCAGAATGGAGAAGCCCGGGACCCGAGGGCTCAGGTCTTCCCAGGTCGGGGTGATGAGCCCTTGCACCAGTGAAACACACCTTCTCGTAAAAAGAAAAGAAAAACAAAGAAACCCGCTTCCTGCAGCGATGTTACAAAAAGCCAGTAAAAAAAAAACTTTCCTAATTGCAATCTCGCGTTCGCAAGTGGGTAAAATCAATCACCAGGCGTCAGGTCCTCTTAAACCCAAGCTGGAGCCCAGTTCCCGGGGCTGACTGTCTTAACAAGGGTCGCCGCGGGGTCGGCGCCGCTCACACGAAGGACGAGAAGCCGGTGAGCGGAGTCCGGGCGCCGTGGGCGGCGGGCGTGAACACGGCGCTCTGCGTGGTGACCACCGCGCGCGGGGCCGGCCCGGCCTCGGCCCCCGCCACCGCCTCGTACCTGTGCGGGGCCGCGCCCGCGCGCCGCTTCCAAGAGTTGTAGTAGGTGGGGTCGCTCAGGTAGTGGTTGACAAAGGAGTGCTGGGGGAGCGCGTCCTCGGACTCGGACTCGGTGCCCTGCGGACAGACGGATGGACAGCAAGGTGTCAGCCGGGGGGCTGGGGGGCTGGGGGGAGCTCAGGGGGCCCGTGGACACGGGGGGTGGAGCTATGGGGGAGCGTGGCCGTGGGCAGCAGGGCTGAGTGGGGAACAGGAAGGGTCAGGAAGGGGACCAGTACTGGCCGCCCATGGTGGGATGGTGCCGGTCACCTGTTTCCTCCCTTTTCCCCCACCGCAGACCTCCTACACTCCACACAAGCCGCGCACGGAACCCCCGGACCACCCCGCAAGAGACCCGGGCTGAGCTTGCGCCAAGCCGGGCAATGTGCTGTCTCACTGCCCTTGAGCCTCTGCTCCCCAACCCATCACTGTGCCTGAGCCCATCCCAGGAGGGTCTACATTGCACTCGTGCTCCAGGAGAGGTCTACACTCCATTTCCCATCCAGGAGAGGTCTACACAGCACTCCCACCCCAGGAGAGGTCTACACCCCATCTCCCACCCAAGGAGAGGTCTACACCCCATCTCCCACCCAAGGAGAGGTCTACACCCCATCTCCCACCCAGGAGAGGTCTACACAGCACTCCCACCCAAGGAGAGGTCTACACCCCATCTCCCACCCAGGAGAGGTCTACACCCCATCTCCCACCCAGGAGAGGTCTACACCCCATCTCCCACCCAGGAGAGGTCTACACAGCCTCAAGGGGATGGTGTGTATCCTCGCAGTGCAGAATACAGAAGAGCACGGGAATGTGGAAGGCCTAGGAGCCACAGCCTGCCCAAGACCGTGACGCAGGCTCCCACAGACCAATGGGATCCCATCCTGAGCTTGAGAGGGGGTGAGGAGGAGGTCTGTCCTTCATGGGACACACATTTCCAGGGAATGTCACGTCCATGCCAATCTCCGAGGGGAGGTTGCCAAGAAAGGACACCGTAAATGAACGTGGTGTCGTGGTGTCTGAAGTGCTACGGGCCTCTCCCTCTCCAGGCACTGAGGGACCTGACCCCTCACCATGCGGCCCCCGAGCAGCTGGTGGAGGAAGTGGGCCACCCATTGACGGCTCAAGATCAGTCCCTCTGAGGGTCTTTCCCCCCTTTTCTTTCTACAAAACCAAGCAGCAGTTTCTAGTAAGAGCATTTAGCCCGCACAGTTTCTATGTTCATCTTCTTGAAGTAAAACTCTATGCCGTGTACTGTGTGGTCCTGGGAGTGGATTTTCAGTGCTGGAAGGTCGGCTGATCCAGACAGTGGAGGCCGAAGTGTTTTCCCAGAGCAGGGAGGGCTCCCGGTTCCCCTGTCCCAGACCTGCCAGGTGGTCCCGGGGCCCCTCCCCTGAATCCTGGGAGCTTCCTGCCCCCTGGTGGGTGGGGATGGCACCCAGGCTGGCCGGGCTCTGCTGTGAGGACCCGCACCCAAGACGCTCCCCAGACCCTGAAAGCACAGGGGTTCCTCCCCGCGCCCGCTACCCCGGACCTCACAGACGCCACCTTCCATGTGCCAAAAATGGGTCTGCAGGCACGGTGGCTTCCGGCCTTTCAAGTTCAGGGAGGGGACAGGAATCGTGGCCGAGTAAAGCCCCTCCCCTCGCGGGGCACCCTGCCAGGTGAAGGTCACCGTGGGCAGTGGGCGGATGACTGGCTGGTCCCTCACACTCCAGCTGCCCACGGGCAGGGCGCCTCCCCCCTGGGCTCCAGGGCCGAGCCGTCAAGGGTTCAGCCACACCTGCCCTTTTTCCTCTCCCCGGAGGGTGACGGAGGCCTGGGTGGTATAAAGGACTGAGTGTCCCCCTAATGCTGGCTCAGAATCTCCGGGGAAGTCTTGGAAGAGCACAGCTTCCTGGGCGGCGGCTCCCGCTCTGCTCTCCTGACTCAGTGGGTCTGGGATGGGGCCCTGGAACGTGTATTCCCTGGAGGCTCTGGGAGGATTCTGAGCAGTGGCCAGGCTGGGGTGGGGGCAGGGGAGGAGGGGACAGTACCCTTCCGGCCTTCACCTGGGGAGCAGCATTCTGTGGTGTGAGAGCGGGCGGCCTCTTGGCTGTGCAGACACCCCTCGTGTACATACGGTGGAGCCAGAGACTTCTGGGATTTTTCAGACACAGACTGAAACCCTTGCTCTAAATGGAATATTTACATAAAGTAACGACGGTGAGTCACAGATCTGGGAATTCTCAGGACGTTAAATGTAAACCATTTGTGTTGTGACATCATACATGGCTGAGGCAGAGCTCCTGGAAACGGGGGCTGACAAAAATGCCCTCCCAACACATCCCGGAGGTGGAGGACGGCTCCTCCATCACTGGACAGCGATGCCGAGAGGTAGCACAGGCTTCTCTCCTGTGGACACTGCTCCCAACAGAGTAGCCTCGTGCCACCTCTGTCGCTGCACCATGACCCTGCAAGGTGGGAGTTAGGATTCCGGTTTATGGATGAAAAAGGGCTCTGTGGGCCCTGGGCGGCGTGGGAGCCTCCCCTGAGCCTGGCCACCCAGGCCTCGGGGTTCCCGGCTCCAAGCCCCTCCTGCACGGCAGCTGAATAGGCTCACCACCCCCTAGTCGTCAGTCCCAAGCCCATGATGCTCTGAAAACCAAAGGCTGTTTTTGCAACTTGTTTGGAGGCAGAGCCTGACCTGCGTTGAGCTAAAGTGCCGCGGACCCCGAGCTGAACTGCTGGGAGGCCGTCCGGTGTGGATGGCCTCAGGGGTTGCTGCAGAAACACGAGTGGGTTCCGCGAGAGTGCCCCCCTGGCCCCGCTGGGGATGTGACCCGATACAGGACTCAGCCCCAACCTGAGAAACGCCCAGTTCTTGAAAGTGTATCTTTTTCAGATAAGAGATCAGGCACCTGCATGTGTGGCTGGTGGTTAAGGTTTATCCTTCATCTGTTTTCTAGAGGCCTTGAGGGGCTTACGAGGCCAAGCTCTGTGTAAACTCAGAGAAAGGAGGACAGAGATCACGGAGAGAAGCTGAGGAATCTGTTATCAGTCCCTGAGTTGGGTCTGTCACTTCTTCAGACACTGATTTTGGTTCTAAATTTCCTGAAGCTCAGGGGAAGGAAGACACCGAAGCCCTCTTTCCTCATGAGGAATTCACGGAATGTTCAGGATTGGACGACAGCAATATGGCTCCTGGTTTCACAGACGGGGTCAGGGTTTATGATGATCTGAAGACTGAACTTTAAGATTCAAGATTTCACCCTTCAGTGTTTGGGGTCCTCCCCACCCACCGTCCCAACCACGTGAGGACAAATGTGAGAAGTCGCGATTGGGTTCCATCTCATTTTGTGTTGGAGAGAATGGAGGCCCACAGAAGCAGTGACCATGTCAGGGTCATACTGGCTGGGGACAGAGTGGGGGCAGACCCAGCTCTGGCATCGCAGCCCAGGTGGCAGAGACAGAGGCTTCTCAGTAACCCCTCGGGGCCGCCTTCAACCCCAGCTGTATAAAAGGTTAGAGACACTCCAATGGGTGGGTCTCACACCAGGTCTCTCCAATGATGGAAAGGCCATCATATGCGGCGGTCACTCGTTTTATAAACACGTCCCACACCCAGGGGGTGTCCCGGGGCACTTCTCTCCCCTCTTTCTACCCTTGTCCCCCCTCCTGCAGCTGTTCAGGATGTGGGGAAGCCGGGTTCGCAGTCACCGAGGGACCGAGGGGCGGCCTGGAAGGGGGCTCTGAGTTCTTGCAGGAGCCAGCATTTCTCAGAGTATGTCCAGCGCTGCTTCGGGAATGCACATCACGTGTCCCACACTCATGTGTATGTTCACGTGATTAACAAAATGTAGTTTCACTGGAGACCTCTTAGTAGCTATGTGTCATTATGCATTTTCTCAACCACAGATCTCAGTGTCCCCTAGGCCTGTGACAAATGTGGGCACTAAGAGGCCCGGGCAGGAGACAGTCGGGGTCAGCTGTCCAGCTCACGGTGATGTCCCAGTGTTTGCATCTGAAGTGTGACCCTTTGAAGGATGTGACCCTTGCCCCACCTTTCCCTGTGACATGGGCTGAAGGGCTTGACCCTCAGAAAGCAGTGACTGGCTAATGGGTGGGCATGTGGCTTAAGCCGAGCCAGTCAGAACCTGCCCTGGGATTTTTCCCACTGCATCTGGAGAGCAGAGTGCTTCATGTGGGGACCAAGCTGGGCGGCTGGCAGCCTTGAGTGGCAGGGCTGCAGGTCCAGCCGAGTGGTCCCAAAAGCCACTGTGAGAGATCAAAACCATCGTGCAGAAAGGAGAGGAGAGACTAAGAGCTGCTCCTTTAGCTTCTTCCTGTTCATTTAGGGAGAGTGAGAGCGTACCCAGGTCTCATGACACACACGAGGGCGGGGGTGGGGGCGGGGGCGGGGGTAAGGGCGGGGCGGGGTGAGGGCGGAGGGGGGGGCGGGGCCGGGGCCGGGGGCGGGGCCTCCTGGCTCCTGCTCAGGTCTTGCCTTTGCCTTCACAAGAAGGCACCGAATTAAAATGCCATTCGTCCTTCTGCTGCCTGCCCTGCTTATTGTTTATATGACATTATTATTTTTTCATGAGGATGTATTTTAGTGATTTAGAATTATTGACACAAAGGAAACACTGCAGGGTCTTTTTTTTAAGTTTCCTGTGTGATAATGAAATAGCGTTGTGTGTTGGTTTCCCAGGAAACTGTAGAAGGCCAGCCTGTGATTGGATGTGCTGGCAGACGGACTGTGAGAGTTTCTAAAGGTGCATGGATGCCTGGCAAGCTGCTAACAGAGATAATCTCAGCACTTTGGGTACTATATGGGCAAGATGACAGACTCAAATATTATTAGGGAATTAATTAAGCAGGAGGGGGTTGGTCTAAGTTGGTTGGAGGAGAGGTCTTGAAAACTGTTTCTTTGGATTTCGAAAACAATTTTTAAGATGCGATTTGAACAGTAGCCCTGGTGTAATTCATGAGCATCTGTGCGATAAAACAGAGACAGAGCCTCTTTTTCCTAAACAGAGGTACATAGAGAGCCACAGCACGTGTCATGTGGCACTGACGGCCTCATTCAGAGCAACTCGGAT